GGGGGGGGGGGGGGGGGACATTTCTCTCTCCTTCCCCTTGCCTTGAATTCGCATTTACTTCCCCTCCTTCCCACGATGGATCGACTGGGCTCCCTCGAAATAGATCATTTCGGTATTCGTCCTTGCTCGTGCGTGGATTCTTGATTTATGGCGGAGGGGAGCAGAAAACGCCTCGATGTCTGATCTCTGACCATGAGATGTCCCTTTCCCTCTTCCTTCTCGAGACCGAGATGTCGGAAGGGGCCGGGAAGGGGGCCGGAAGGGGCCGGGAAGGGGCCGGGAAGAGGCCCCTGCCCGGCCGGAATCACGTTTCCAGGTTTCCGTGTCGCACGGGCGTGCAACGGTCTTCCGTGGCCTTGTTTCTCTCACCAGCAGCTGTTCGCAGTGCGCTGCGGGGATGGGGTCAAGGGTCACGCGTCGTACATCCTACCTCGCTCTTTCTCTGTTACATTCGGAATTAATGGAACGAAACGAAGCGGAAGAAAACGCAATCCCGTCGCGAGGGATTTGCGAAAGCGTCTCGTTCGGCTTCCAGCCTTGCCCTTGGCGATAGCAGAGAGTTTTCTCACTTTTCGGTTTTATATTTTTTTAAAGAGGTAATTGAGGACGAGGACGGTCGGATGGCCCCCCCCCCCCCCCCCACCCCCCCCCCCCCCCCCGACCCCGCCGCGCAAACGCGTGAGAACGGGGATGCGAACGACCGCCGCGAGATCGAGGCGTCCGCGGGGATCGTCGCGTCCTCCACAGCCTTCATACATATCCTGTGTTCAGATTCCCATGAAGCGTGAAATAGTCCACGAGTGACAGATCATTTCACGGTCGAACCTCCCCTGTTTTATTATTTATTTAAAGGGTTTACGATGCCGGGCACGCGGTAAGGGTTCAGAAAAAAAAAACTCGCGATTCTCGAGTGAATCCCTTTCCCATTCCAAAATTCTCATATTCCACATCGTCGGGGAAAAAAAAAAACTTTTCGCGTTCGATCAGTACGCAATGCGTGAGGACCCTTGCAGGAGCCGAGACAGGGCGATTAAAGGAAGATGGAAGAGGTCGTCCCGCCCGCCGCATCACCGCAACCATTTTTCTCAGTGGGCTATTATCATTATTATTATTTTTTTTATGGTGCATCATTATTACTTTTCTATAATCCAATATAAACTCCCCCGAAGGACGAAGAGGGGATCGCCGGAGCCATCTCCCTTCCGGGCACGAACACGACGGTGTCGAAACCCTGGATGCAATTACCGAGATTTATTAACGCGGTTCCCAGGCAACTCCATTTACGTGCATGGCATACCTCACTTAAACCTCGGCTAAACCGTACGGCGAGGCGCGTCTCTCGAGTGGCGTAAGAGGAACGACCCCGTCAGATATTCGTTCCCTCCCGATGGGGTTTTTCTATCGTTTTCGGCCGGTCGTCGTCTCGTGAGTCACTCGAGCATCCTCGTGCACCTGGTTCGGGGAAAATGGGTGCGGAGAAACGAATGAGATACCTTTTTTTGCGGGGGGTTCCAGCCGGTCTTCCATCAACTGCGGTTTCTTGCCTTTTTCTCGGAAAACCGACCCGTCTGACGCGAGGCAGGTGAAGGCGTAATTGCCTCTGCCGTCCTCCTCCCCCTCTTTCCCGCCCTTCGCCCCGGGAGGTCCATGGCGCATGCGCAGTCGCTGCATTCCCCCCCCCCCCCTCCCATCCCTCATTCCCCTCTTCGGCATTCCGACCTCCGTCTTGNCTGCATTCCCCCCCCCCCCCTCCCATCCCTCATTCCCCTCTTCGGCATTCCGACCTCCGTCTTGCGAGGATGCACCTTGGAGGGCTAGGCATGCACAACGTTTCGGGGTCGAGGACTGCCCGAATATCGAGGCGCGGATGGGTTATCTGGCGCTTTCGAGACGTCACCCGTGCCTCGCGATAAGATCTTGGGCTGGGAACACCTGTTTTCCCTTTTTACGGCCTACGCGGATTCGGTTCTCGCCGACTCGTTCTTCATCCTTCGTTGCGCACGTATTGTGGGCTGAATATTTTTTTTAATGTGCATTCCGCAATACTCCTACTCGCAATAAATAATCACGAATAGATTCTTGGAAGAAATAGAGCTGCAAATATTGCAGTTTTGGATGTAAAAACCTAGATTCGTTCGATTCAGCGGAACGGCTCCCATTCACCTGGGGCGATTGCCCTTTTTCTCGATCAGGGTGTGGCGACAACATTCGAGGCGTCGAACCGCGCCGCATTTCGTTCCCGAGTCCACTCGGTCCTGCGTGGCGTAGAGCGGACCCCGAAGCGACGTGCACCTCGTGGCACTGGTCACCCGTGCGGCTTGGCGGGCTGCGCGAGTGAAAGTGACGGTGGCGGCCTCTCCGCTCTCGTACCGGTTTCTCCTCCAACGGCCCAGGGAGCCTCCTCCTGGGGCCGGGCCGGCTCATTCTCGTAAGCGATCTTGGGGACTGCGGGTGTTGGGTGACGAAGCGTGCCGCCGTCTTATTCTTTGCCGTCGTTTATTCGTTCTTTGGACATGATAGAGGTGCGACGACCTGCATCCGTGCTTGCCTCCTGACCTTCATCTTTAGTCTTCTCTTCTAGAAAACGGTACGTGGGTGCGTGGCTTCACGACTTAGGTAACGAAACGTAACGCACGCCGAATCGGTCCGATCTAGTTTAACAAACGTTATTCCATATTTTTTAACATCTACGGTCTGACCTAGTGACTTAACCGATGCGGCGTGAAGTGGATATCAGAAATTGCTTGTTGGCTCCAATAAGGTTTAAAAGTTCTTACGGATGGTAAACGGATTTACCATCCGTAAAAAAAAAAACTATAATGGCCTTTAATGATGACTAGATGTGACAGGACTGATTCGACGTAGGAGCACCCTAGCGCTGAAACCGACTGGAACCCTGTTAATGGCTGGTCCCTTCAATGATTGCAGGGAATCTTAAGGTAACGTGGTATTTCTAGGCCGACATGCCCCAATTGAGGCAGATGCGAGTCACGGAGAGCAAGAAATCCTTAAACAATAACGTGGAAAACGACCGCTGCTCCTCTCAGGAAACGACAATTTTTCCTTTTCAAGAAAAAAAAAAGGAAAAATCGTATTATTTCCCCTGCGTCAGCACTTCCTGGTCTTTTTCCCATTTTTTTCCCTTCCCCCTCTCTCGCCTCCCATTCGAACCAAGGACGAATGGGAGGTGACCTCCCCCCCAAGCAAGGGGGGGGGCCCCCCCCCCCCCCCCCCCCACCGTTCCATTCACACGGAATGCGGTTCATTCTGATATTCCTGAAAGCCCCCAGTCACCTGTGCACCGATCCACGCGCTCACCCATGCGGGACCATCGAATCGCACGATCCCTGCCGATCGAGCGAGGGGCAGAGGGTTTCCCGATTTCGTTTTTCGTCTGTCCTTTGTGAAGCTGTCTTCGAGGTTTTAACGGACATCCGCTCGCTCTCTTCGCCCCTAACAAACAACAATTTCGCACAAAAAAAAGCCACCTGTTCCCCCCATTTCTTTCCCACAGGTTCCATCCCACGACGGAACCCCTTCCCCGAAAACCCTTCTTCTAACCGTGAAACAATTAACCGAACGCCTCGCACCCCGCGGAAGCGATTTTCGTGATGCGACCCATCGTCGCGGCAGATTCGCCTGGAATCTTCGGGAAACGATGGGGCGGATGATGACCCGTGCAATTACGGCGTGTGGTTGCGGAGAACGAGCTCTCCCGTCGCATCGATGCTGTTCCCATGGAAACACTAAAGCATTCGCCACACGATTGTACTGTCCTTTTTTTTTTTTTTACGCATTATGTATATGGATCGGAGGGAGAGGCAGTGAAGCGAGTCTACGTATCCGGCCGTGCTATACGAACTCGTTCGTTCCACGACCCCCCTCGGCCACGCTTTTCCCCCTTTTTTGTGCGACGAAAGGCGTAATATCTCTCGCCTTTCGGCATTTCTGGCGTGTAGGAAACCCAGAACGGCAGACACCGAGACACACGACCTGGAGATTACGGGACGCTGGATCCGAGGGGGAAAGTTTTCCCAAGCCGGCACGCCAGGCAATTTCTTCATCTGGGCCTCCCATGATTACGCGGCGAATCATCACGGTAGGGGCGTTGGACACAGTACAGAAGATGAGGTTCATATGCATGCACCGAGGAGAGGGAGAGGCAGGCTTTATCGTGATGGTTGAAACCGAGGGCATTGTTCTTTTCCCCCGGTCCTTGTTTCTCGTCTTCCTCTACGGACTCGGGGAATTTTTCTCGGATTCGTCCCGAATGATAATGCCGGGGCCTTTGTCCTTACTTCTCCGGCATTTTTCCTTCCGCGAACGGTTTCCTCGAGTCCCTCTGCAAAAAAAAAAAAAAAAACGATGCGGGAAGCCGAAGGCGACCCATCGAGGAAGATGGGCGACGACAGCGAGGCGGATTTTCTGGGATTTTCTCAGATTTCGTCATCTCGTCCCGGGCGCGTCCTTGATCCCCCCGGACGATGGAAAGAGTTCCTCGTTAAATCGGGATCCGTCGATGACTCGTGCGAGTTGCGACGAGGCGGCGTTTCGCCATCGCTTAAGCCTGCTCGAAATCCCCTGCCGCAATCTCGCCGATTCTTCTATCGGTGGGAGGCCTTTCGATTCCGTTCTCGAACGGTCCGAGAGGACACAATGGGCAGGCCAGGGCCGAGGGAGAACCGACCTCGGTGGGGTCTCGCACCTCGATCGCAGGAACGACGGAAAGTCGGCCGTGGCCCGTGGGCGTGAGGCTTTCGCGGCGCGGGTTCCCGTGGGGCAGTACCGAGATGCCGATCGGGACGCGAAACGGTGGGAGAAAGTACCACGGGCTCGTATCATCTCGTGAGTTTGCAGGCGAAAAAATAGATGCGATGGATTTTGCACGACCGACTCTTTCATCGGTCGGAGAAAGAAAAAGTAACATCTCATCGTGGAATGCTTCTGCTACCATTCTCTCGGATGCCATACCCTCGTCTGTTTAGTTTTCCCTCGAGGTAAAGTACATAGTGATAGCAGGGAGGGTAACGTCCGTTGCATCGGTGTACAATACCATGCCGGGGAGGAGGGGGGGAGACAAAAAAGAAAAACCGGTTCCCATTATTGTTACACGTGGGAAGAAGGTATGATCACATCCCTTCGACATTGTTTCCCCAATAACCGAATTCCTTACTGCCCCGAGTGGCGGTTGCGCTCTCGAAAAGGTGGCTGAACCTGGATTAACCCCCTCCCTCCCCTCGCATTCCTGAATGAAAAAAAAAGTTACATCACCGGATTTACCTCTCATGCATGGCCGGTCGCGAGAGACAATTAGCGCGATGAGCATAGGAGTGACACAGAAAAAAATAACTGTCTCTCCGCGTTTGGGTTCAAATCCACCAGACAAAGCGCATGTTTTCGTGATGCTGGTGATCGATAATGTAACGGATTGCGCGTGTGAAGCGAGAGGATCGACGCGAGGCGTGGAGATCGAAGATTCCGTCGGGGTCGGAGAGGATGAGTACGAACGGTCATAAAGCCATCGACGAGGAGCCATCAAGCCATTGACGAGATCGAGAAACTCCCCTTGCTAGGTGGGGGGATTCAAGGACGGCAGGCGAGGCATCTGCCCCGAGACCGAGTCTCAATTATCTTCTTTCTTGTGCATCTCCTTGGAAGATCCACATCCGGCATTGCTCACTGACCTTCCCACCTGCCCTGTCTCGGGACTCGTGACGCAACACCACCTGGAATTAAGCCTCACTTATCTCCGATGATTAATCACGTGGGCCGGGGGAGCCTCATCCTCGCCTCTGCTACCGTGCTCGATTCACTCTCGCTTTCACAATCGGCTCATCCCGTTTTCTTCGGTCGAGATGAGTCTCCCGCGTCGGGACGTATGTTCGTGAGGATGTATCTCCGTCGTTGGGGATCCGGGAAAGGATCCCCGTCTTTACGATGATGATACCCTTCCAATGTCCTTGACACGAGAGCCCTGTCGTGACTAAATTGAACGGCAGATGCGGCAGACGTTAAAAAAATAAAAGGAAAAGGGAAAGGGGGAAGAAGAAATGGCAGTACGCTAAGGTCACCTCGTCCTCCCAAAGAGATGTATTGGTGGACATTCAAGATTTCTTTGTGTGCGTGTCACGGAACAATGCTTTCTTGGCCTCTGTCCACCCCTTGTTTCCATGCAGACAGCTCTCAAGTGTGTCATGCGTCTCTTTACCGAGACGACTCTGTCGAGCCGTTGGGATCCTCAACCAGCGCGCGGGCGGTTGCATCGCTTTGCTCAAGGGGGGGAAAGTGAGAAATCCCCCCTAACTAGATGCATCCTGCGTGTGTCAGACCGGATCGGTGCTGTCGAGAGGAGTGTAGATGCCGCGATAAAAATAAAATGAAAACGAAGGATATTCCAAGCTGGAAGAACGAGGTGGAAAACATTCTTAACGACCTTCAGAGGTAGCAGCTCTGGATCCGGAAAAACAGCTGGGAGTATGAAGACATCGTGATGAGAATCGAAAATCTTGGCTGCGCAGTTGTAACTGCTCAAGTTTTTTTTTTTTTTTTACCCTTTTATTGCGAGTTAGGTCGTTGGGGAAAGTCGAAGTGACTTGGTACATTTCTCAAATTCATGCCATCCTGGTAAACGGAAAGTTCTCCCCGAGCCCCAACGCGTTTATCCGGTAAACCACGGTGCGACCCCGAATCCCCAGTAACGAGTCCATATCCATGAAGCGATAAGAGGTTTTGGGCAATAGGAGGGCCAGCCCGGAGGGTCAGAAGAGAACATGGACTGACGAAAGAGCATGAAGCCTTCTTCGCCAAAGGGGATAGATTCCTGCTTCGTCATCCTTTTGAAGAGCCCTGCACCGAGCTCATTCTCCATATCCTGTCTGGCAAAAAACAACGCGGTGGAGAAGGCATAACTTTTTTTTTCTCTCTCTTTCTGCGAGATGCATTCCGACTTGTACCTTACGAGATGTATTCTCCGTATCATAATGAGACGAAAAGAATCCGCGCGAGACCGGTAGAGGCCTCTATGGTCGGTTGACGAATGAGCCAGCAGTCTCTTCGGACATGCTTAGTCAAAAAGCTGTTGCTTTTCATAGTCGCAGTGCCGAAGAAAGCATCTCGGCTCGTTGCGTAATCCGGCACGGATTTGCATAACCGCTTGGCAATCCGAGGCGAGGGACGGTGGCGTCGTTTCTTACCGATCGCGGCCACTTCTCTGCGTCTCGAAAGGGATCGAACGAGAACGTGCGGAGGTAGCATCGAAGTGGTTTTTCGCAGTTCGTCGATGACGGCCCCGCCTGCCGAAATCGAGGAGAAATACCAGGTTGTTGAGCAAGATCATAAGGGTGTCTGGACTTCACAGGATTGGGTATATCTTGGGAACGTGTGGCCGACTGGTTTTCGTCTGGTCTGGGTAGATTTCCTCCCACCTCACATAATAGGGGGTGGATTGCTCAAGAGCCTCATGAAAGATCGGGGGGATACGCCCGTAATCGGCCGCCCTATCATTGCCAACTCCTGGTCCCTGGCTCTTTCTCCACTTCACGCCGGGGATGGCATTTATCTCATTACCCTTCTGGGAGGTGCTGGGTTTTCAGCTAGCAAGACTCCATGACTACTCGCTTGCTGCTGGGCTTTCGTCCCCATTTTTCCTTTCTGCCTCTGGGCGTAGCGAAAACTATTAAATGGCTGCACACTTTCGAGTCAATGGATGGTTTGATGTGTGTTCAAAAATCGATCAGAATCTATGAGGAGTTAATTGATGAAACTGGCGTAGAGGTGGGTCTACGGTAACCGTAATAATCGTTTGAAGTTTTCCATTCGAAGAGCCAAAATCGTTGATAAAAGTAGATAGGGATTGATTGCTGCAAAGAGGATTGCTGTTCCGACGATTCTCAGACATGAAACTTAACGTAGACTAGGACCAAGTGTGGGCAAACGCGAATTCCGGACGAAAATGTTGAATGGTAGAGCGACAAGAGGCACAAAAACGAGAATGGAAGACCACACGCTTTGAAGGGTCGAGCGACACAAAAGGTTGACCGAGTCCTCGCCTTCTTCGCGGGTGTCTCCCCGTCCCCTCTTGTCTGACGGGTTGCAATTTCCTTCTCCGCCCGGAAGAGCGGGCACGAAAAGATCGCATTTCGCAGGGTGACTTTTTTCCCTTGTTCTTGGGTAACGAGTCGACCACAGACAGCCTTGCGCGAAAGGGGTCGATGCCAGACAGAAACCTTGAAACCTGTTTGTTTCCTCGAACGCGCAATGTCGGACTAATACTTCTGCAGAAATAAGCGGGTAGACGTGTATTGAGCAATCCGGAAGCCTTCCCGTCGGCCAAAACGTTCCTTTTGTCCCTGAGGAGAGTGTCGGTCTCGAATCCGAATGGGGAAGGAGCACGTTCTTGCTTGCGGTTTTCATCTCGAATCCGACACGGAAGCAGTGTGGGTGTGGTCCCAAAGACCCACAAGGCATGCACGCGGATCATAAAGAGTTGAGAAGCGTTCCCTGCATCTGCGGCTACGAAATGCTCATTTTTCACGCGCTCGCCCGAGTTTAGATATGGAAGCAATTACGGGAAGTGGAATGTCGTCACGTTTAAGGATGGATATGCATAGAACCACGGACCGTTCATCTTCTGGTTATCGGGGGATAAGTGTCTCATTCCTTACCGAAGGCCCCAGTTGATTTCCTTATACGTACCTGCGTTACGAGATCCCCCCCTGTGGCTCAGAAGGACTTCCTAGTCCCGCATTCGTGTATCATAGTCTCCCCAGGCTTGGCTCCTATTGCATCATGCCGAATAGCTTTCACAGTGAATAACTAGGAAGTGAAAAAAAAAAAACCCTTTTGCTTTTTCAGAGACCAGGTGGAAGTAGATGGAGGAGGAAGAAGCAGGAGGGAGAAAGGAGATGGGAGTGGAGAACCCGTCCTTCGTGGGCGACAAGGAGGATATCGGAAATGGGAAACTGAATGGAACCGTCCCGGACTCGGGTTCCGGGGGCCTGGAGGCCATCAATCTGGAGCTCGTCAACATGAACCCCTACGCGGTGAAAGACGGGGACGTAGACGGGGAAAAGGGGAAAGACGGGAACGGGTACATCGCTGCTGAGGACGTCGTCCGGCCGAGAAAGGGCACCGATGACCTGGACCCCGAGCACCCCGACGACGAATATTTCGTCTCCTCGCCTAGCAGGAAGAAGGGCATCAGGTCATTCCGGTTGCAAAGCAACGTTATTGCTATTCTAAACCTCGTTCAAATAGCAGTATATTTTCAATGGAATATATTTTATGAGCGTATAGAGAATTGTAGATTTCAGGCTTAAAGTAAAAGATTTTAATTATAATTTTAACAAGGTTCTGCTTCACACTTGACTGATTTTATTTAATTTCGAATTCCTTTTTTTCTCCCTCTCTCTCTTTTCTTTCATCATGCTTCTTTGCTTTCAATTTGAGCTGCAACTCCATTTCTTTTCGTTCCAGGGGAGAGAAGTTCTACCTGAGCTCGCGACCAGAGGAGAAATGCTGCAGTCGCAAGCTGCTCGTGACAGCAGCAATTTTCGCCCTGGCTGCTGCCATCGGGATTCTCGTCGGTTCCCTTGCAGCCAGTGAGTCCTCATCCTTCATTTCCTGTTATCAGTCCGCTATACGAGCTGATGGTCTCGAAAAGGTATGACAGAACTAGGGTGACCAACTGTCTGCGGGACAGTCCCGAATTTTAATTTCCGTCCCGCTTCTCGCTACCACATCCCGCAAGCATTGTCCCGAATTGCCAAAATGAAGAGAGAAAAAAAAAGTTATATAACTGTTTTGTTCTTTTTTTTAAGCTTCGAATGCTTCTGGTTAAGGCAAATTGGGAATGACTGATTTTGTACGATCAAGGTCATTAATTATACTAAAATTATTCAAATTAAGGTGGTATCTGTAACTTAGCATTTAAAAAATCAAAAGTGGACATTTTGTGGCGAAAATGAACGACTTAGGCCCAAAATGACACCTAATTCTGGGAGGGGGAAGCTAGCCCCCCAGACCATCTTCACGGGTCCTGCATTCCAGTCTCTTCAAAGAGGACGCCCGAGGTACAACGCCCACGTTTCAACGGGCAATAGAGAACTGCACAACTTTGGTCAAGGTTATGAGCTTCCCAGTTGTCCTTACCGACCTCGATCTGGCGTATTGGGTTGTCTCTTACAATCTTCCAACGACTGAAATCAACCGAGTGCGTTTTTTGAAGAATGGGAATTTTACCTTTCACGTTTATAATGTTCTGCCCGTTATAATTTTATATCAGTACAGTGTGCACCTTCGTATGGTGGTTAGCTTTCAGTAATGGTGGTGGATGGAATGCCACTACCAAGGTATTACAATAAATTGATTAGATCTTATTGACTAGGAGTGTGAGACTCTCCACAACCGCAACTCATCTCCAATTGGAGTCACCCAACGTTGCCATACGACTAGATACCGCAGCTTAGGAACAGCTGTGCCCTTCTTGCTTGCATCTTGTTGGAGAACGGTCGAAATGACCTGAAAGACGAGGTCATATCCACGGATGATGAAGCGTTGCCATGAGAGTGGTGCGTCTGAATACTCGAGCAAAGCTGAGATAGCCCAGAGGCATGGGGAAGACCAATGACCATAGAGGTGGAGGAATGGGATATGGTTATGATTCACTTCTCTCTCGCAGTGCCTAATTTGAGCTGGAGCTGGCCGGAGCTCAGCTCCTGTTCCTCGGTCGCTTATATGTTATTATTTTATAAGTAATGGTTTCGAAATTTGACGATGAAAATGACCGTGCTTTTGTACGTGCATGAATACTGAGATTTAGGTCAATAAGTGCACAAAAAAATTCCTTGGGGCTTGCCTCTCGGACCCCCAATTTATGTATGGCATATATACAGGGAGCACCGGTACTTCATTCCTTAGAAATTAAGTACTGTTATCGGATGAAGGTAACCATTGAGGCCACCCATTCGCTCGATCCGTAAATTTCATTTGCCCTCCAATTCTGTAATTTTCATGATACAAAAATTCCAGGGAACTCTACATGAAAGCTCTTATTCTATCCAAAAAGAGACTCAAAATCATTGTCACTTACTGTATTTTCTTCCAGAAAAGGAGGATCCGTCTCTGAATGCCGTAACTACTGGCTCCTGAATGTTTATTGTCTTTGCAGTAGCATGTTGACATGAAATTACACACCATAACCTGGGAGATTGCCTGTGTTCCTTGTTGAATAGCTGCCTTCAGCCGTGGAACAATCTGCAGATTCATGCAATTTCACAATGGGCCCCATGCATTATCACAAGATGGCTCTGTTAGACTGGAGGGATTTTGCATAGTCAATGTTAAAAGAAACCTAGTTTTGCTTCCCTTTTGTCTTGTTTTCCTTTAGTATAACAATCACCAGCAACAGAGTTCTAGATGAAGCTGGCTGCACAACTGCACGCAGCGCAATTATTCCTGTTCAATTTATTCTTTAGATGAGGAATTGATAAAGAATTTTGATTTCCAAGCTTGTCATTTGACTCCCTTAACCTTGAGGGATATATACAAGGGGTTCATTCAGAGCAGTCAATTAATCATCCATGCGGTCATCATTCAGTATAATCCAATAGGGAAAGTGTCTTTCTCAGCACCAAATGTGTGCATGTACAAAATCAAAATTCTCTACACTGTGCAAGCTTGAATCCTAATAAACTGCTTTTGCAGAAATTCCTTTCAGAAATGTCCTAAGATAAATGTCCTAAATGTATGGGACCTCTTGCTTTATTAAAATTAATTCTTGAGCTTTAAGGTAACAATTCGTTCTATCAGATAGGCTTGGCCTTTAAATAATGTGGGAGTTCTGATTGCATTCAACAAGCAATTTTAATATGAGGTATTTTTTTCAATTGTGAAGTTTCTGCAAACTTAAGGTACAACTTTTCATTTCCCATTTGCAATGCTCATGCCTTTTAGCTTCTCTGTATCATAAACAGAATCAATTGGATTACAGAAAAGTAATCAGTGATTGTGGATATAACCATTTTTCCTAACTGTTTTCCAAAACTTAGGGGAGTATATGTTGATCCCTAATGTCTTGTCATATTTGATCACATATTACCCAACATTCTGAACATATCAGAGTCTACTAGATCATGCACAACTTGTTCATCTTGTCATGAATATGAATTAATCTGAATATTAATTAGAAACCTTAGGAGTCAGAGGAAAAGGACTTGGGGTGATCTTAAAATGATCTCCACCTCTGTCACTAGTAAATGTTATATTATTGGTGTGACAATCCCATTATTATTAAGTTCTCTCTTTAGATGGGGTTCTTCATTCGAAAGAGAAGCAGGAGAGCATGGCTGAATTTTCCAAGACGCCACTGTCAAATGAGATCGATGATGAATTTGGTCCTGTAGGTCTGTACCCCTTTCCCCTCTCTTTCTCTCGCCAGCTGCTAGCTTTTTATGAGACATAAAAAATTTGTATTTATATTTTGAGCAGTTGAACAGGCCCTGGAGGGGCAGCTGAAACTAACAGATGCCAATTTCCTTGAGTCCTACAAAGATCCCTCTTCAGTGGACTTCCAAGAGATGGCAATGGCCATTGAAGGATTTGTAAGATCCATCAAATTCACACCCTATCCTCACTGAACACAGGTATTGCAATGACTTCTCTTTCCTTTTTCCCATTAGCTTCGTCAAGGTCTGGCTGAAGAAGGAGGTTTGACTGCAGACGAGGAGGGCCATCTTATCATTCGTGTCATTGAGTTCTCGTGAGTTTCATTTAAAAATCATAAAGTCTGCCCCAATTCAATGGTGAATTGATATTGAACTGAATAATTTTTTTTTAGACCTGGGAGCCTGGTTTGCACCTTTCGAATGTCTTGGCTCCTGCATCGACCCTTCCTTACTCCTGACTCAGTATCTTCTGCTCTCAGCAACTACATGAAGAAAAGCAATGAGCGACTTGGCCCCTATCATGCTCCTGTCGTATATCTTCGCATCTACTGTGAGCCCCATGAAGCTGTGTAATCCTTGAATTCCAGTCTACAGAACAAAATATTCATCTGGTTGTATTGGTGCTTGTTTGTGTAAAGATATTAGGAACAGATGTGAGCAGCACCGTGGAGGGTGCAGTCACTGGTGCACCTTCTCTTTGCAATTGGTCATCTTCAAGTGCGAATGCCCTCCTGGAATGAGATTGGCTCTCAACCACAAGACCTGCATTCCTGGTACATTTTATAATAGTTCTACCTCATATCTCTGTTGGTATAACTCTAATGCATATATATTCGTTTCCTCAGCTTCCTATGTCCCACCAATCCCAACAACCAGCTCATCTTTACCTTTGCCAACACTGCCAGCAACAAAAGAGCCTGAAAGGGAGACCTCACAGGAGGTGACAAGAGGACCGCCTCCAGCAACCACTCCAGAGCACATTTCATCCCAGGATGACAGCATGGGTATGGATAATGATACAGATGGCATGATTTTGGAACATGAAGGGTTCACCACTTCTGCACCAATGGAAGAAGCAACCACAATGTCAACTGGAAGTATCAACACAACCTCTGCTTCCAGGGAGCAAAGTGAAACAACTCAGAAAGACCCAGAATCAACATCATCAGAACATACTATGACTCCTTTGATGGAAAATGTGACTGAGATGACCCTTCCATCAAAGCATGCAGAAGAGACAACAATATCAACAGCCACTGTGAAGGTCACAGGTGAAGTCTCAGATGGAGAGGATGGTATGGAAATGACAACTTTATCATTGGAAAATGACACCATGACTGTTGAACCACCAGGAAAGATGGAAGAAGATGCAGAATTATTGCCCAACACTTTCAATACATCTGAAACCACAACCAGCCCTCCAAGAGAGATGACAACAACCAGCAGTCCCAGTTCTGTGGTCACTACAGTGAGGGATACAGCCAATGAAACAGAAGAAACAACACAGGCTCACCATGATGGTCGCCATCCAGATGTAGATCGAGGACTGGATATTGAAAGCAAGACCACATTGCCTCCTGAAATGATTGAGGAGCTCACGACCATAAAAAGTGGGATTCACATCTTACCCCTGCACTCCATAGATGCTGTGACGAATGAAACTGAGCCACCTTCTGCAACTGAAGTCATGTCAGATGTATCTCCAGGGGACCTACAATCACCAATGCCTTCAAGTGCACAACACCCAACACCTCCTTCTGAAGACTCCACAACAACAATGGTGGAGGACATCACTGACTCGGCAACACCCATGTCTCATGAATCTATGGATTTGCCATTGAACAGAGAGGCTGAGGAAATGACAGATGTGGCAAAGGATATGGAAGGGACCACTCCTTTCTTGGGAGATGTAAGTGCATCAGACATCCAGCCTGGAAATGATACAGGAACAACAGACAACACAAGGTCAGAACAGATGACAACCATAAACCCAAGTGAAGAACTTGACAATAAAATGAAGACAGATCACTCTCTGAATGAAATCACAGCAAGAGAGCTTATGTCTCCTTCCTTTAGGGATCACAAGGCAATTGACACTGATGGAGCTCATATAAACACTCTGATGCCAGAAGAACCCCACAAAAAGGACATAACCAAAGATAAAGAAACTCTTGAGACCCTCCTGGTTACTACAACTACAAAAGAGCCAGATTTGGAGCAAGATGCCATGATGGAGACAACATCTGTGAGGCAGCTTGATCCTGCATTGATGGCTATAGCAACTACTGAGCAGGAGACAACAGTAACACCATCAGTTTCAGTGAATGCAAATGAAATGAATAATTCCTTGGATGAAACAACTACACCAGTTACATCATCAGGTTCAGTGAATGCAACTGTAAATAATGATTCCCTGGTTGGAACAACTACACCAATTACAATAAACATGACTGAAAGAAGCAGTTCTTTGAAGGAAGCAATCACCAGTCCAACAGTACACATGGATGATGAAGAGTTGACCTCTATTAGTACTTCTGAATTAGAAACAACAGCAAAAAGTACAACAATCATCAACACCATGAAAGCAGAAGAGCAAGAAACAATAACCACAGCAGAACCACATGCAGGTGTAACTGAATTTCCTTCAGTGAATGCCACAGAAGACACATTGGGAAGTAGTTCAGAGGTGGTAAATGAGAAGTCAAAAACCACTCTCCCATCAACAATCCAAGGCCTGTCAATACAAACTGAAGAGCCAACACTCAGTCTGGAATCCCTATTTACAAGTCAGCTGGATGCAATCTCTGATGAGCCACGAGCCACTCAGGACAAGAAAAAGCTTCATTGTCAATCAGGTAATACAAATTGATATTTGCAGATGTCATGTTCTGCCAGTTGGTACTACTTGACATGTGTTCTGCCACTAGGAGAGTTTGAGTGCCATAACAGTTCCTCAATGCCAGTCTGCATTCCCAATTTGGCTGTCTGTGATTCCATCATAGACTGTGTTGATGGGTCTGATGAAGATGGATGCATCAAGGGAGGCTGTGCCAATAACTTTCAGGTATGACTTATTCATCTTGAGTCTTTAAGTTAGAACTGGTGAAGACCAGAAAAGCATCTTTTTGTCCATTTCCAGTGTGCCAGTGGACAATGCATCCAATACCATCTTGTTTGCAATGGGATCACCGACTGTCGAGATGGAAGCGATGAACTTGCATGTGGTTCGTGAGCTTTGTAGGCATCCATGTTTTCTACTTCTGAGAGAGAAGAATTTCTTTGAATATTTATTGATTCACAGAAAATGTGCTGTGCGAAACAACGGAGTTCATGTGCAATTCTGGGCGCTGCATCCCAGAGTCTTGGGTTTGTGATGGAAAAGACCACTGTGGAGATGGGAGTGATGAGGAATCATGTTCAACCCAGGAATGCAATTCCAAGAAAGATCTTTATCTCTGCCAGGGAGATGATGGGAAGTGTCTGCCAGAATCCAAGCTGTGTGATCGGGAAACTGATTGCCCAGCTGGTGATGATGAGAGTCAATGTTGGGGTGAGCACTGAAGTTCACAATAAATCTGAGGACTTTCATGAGAATTGTGTCTTAAAGCATAGCTTTTTCTTCCTAGAATGTGAAGGAGACTTCCAATGTGCACATGGAGGATGTACAACAAATGAGAATGTGTGCAATGGGGGCCGAGAATGTCGAGACGGGAGTGATGAATATGGCTGCTTCTCCCTCAGAGAAGAAGATGGAACTCTCCTGGTGAATTCCAGGGAGCTGAATTATCTCCCTGTCTGTGGGGACACCTGGGATAAAAGTTTGAGTAATGCTGTCTGCAGAGATCGTGGTTATTGGTTAGCATTTGTTCTTTCCTCCATCTGAAGGATGTATTTAAGCATAGGTTTTTCTCAGTAATGCCTTTTCCACATGCAGGGGTGCTTTATCCACTGAATTCTCTCCATTGGATGAGAATACGTGGCGAGAGGTGGGGAAATTTGATGTTCCTGGTCACGTGTTGGTGCTGCGACACCAACCAATGGGGTTTCTTCTTCCCTTCTTCAAAGTCATCCCTGCAGAACAATGCCAGACAAAGAAAACAGTTCGCATCAAGTGCCAGCCTTTCAGTGAGTGTTCAAACATAACTGGTCAGTTATCTTAGCCAGGTTTAATTTAGCTTTGTGGTGATTCCTAGGCTGTGGAACATGGAATGGAGTGAATGCAGCTGGTGACCAGGGAGCAAGAATGGCTGGTTTGTCTCAGGAGGGAACATGGCCTAGTGTCGCCACTCTTCTTCACACATCAAAAAGGAAAACTTGCACTGGGTCCATCATTTCTCCTTTATGGGTCATCACTGCTTATTCATGCATAGAAAACATGTTCGTTACCCTATACTGTATTTTTTGTGGCATGAAACAATGGAAATAGAATGAGATCAGAAATGTTGCATTGATTTCTTTCTCCAGAGGCCAGGATCCAGAAGAGTGGTTGCTGTTGGCTGGAGCTGGAATGGTTGGGAGCAATAGTTCATCTACTAGCAGCCAGCTTCAGTTGGTGGAAGCCATCATTCCTCACCCAAGACGAGAGTTTGTGAATGAGCTCACAGCCCATGATGTCGCCCTAGTGCGGCTTAAGAGCCCCATGCTTCTGGCTGGATCTCTGGGTATCTCATCTTCAGCTGCCATCTGTCTTCCTGAGAAATCTCTGGAACCCAGACAGCTCTGTGTAACTGCTGGAGGTGGCATTGCAACTGGAGGTGAGTGAAACCCATCCATCTATGAATACCATAGGTTGCCTGAAGGTAATGGTGCAGCTGGGGGAGGGGTAGGTGAGAAGAGGAAGGTGTGAAAGCAGAACTGGTACTAAGGCTGCTGGCACTCAGGTTCCACTACAAATCTTCCTCTTCAGTTAAAGAAACTTGAAAAAAAAGTCTTAAGTTTTGGGAAAACTTTCAGGTTTTCCCATTTACATTTAAAGTAGGCAATCTGCATCTCATTAGGAATGCCCATGGAAATGAGTCACAAAGGAAGAAGTTATGATATTATCTGTTCATGGGTTGCGGCAGTAAGCCAAGATGGGTGGCAATGACCTTGCAATGATGAGGGATCTATTACAGCAGAATTAGTCATGATTGATATCCTGAAATTTAAAAAATATTAGAATGAAAAGTTTTTGAAGATAAGTAACACTGAAATTGTCACAGCTCAAATAATTGATTCCATGGAGTTTTGATTGTCAGACATGATACTGTTCTAATAAAAATCCCTCTAGTACAGGGGTCAGGAACCTATGGCTCATGAGCCAAAAAGTTTGGCTCACCGAGTCATGGCTGAAAATCATGGTTGTTTCTCATTTTTCTCATGTATCAAAAGAATGCATATGACTGCTGTCAACATCAGGAAAAATCCTGTTCTTCTGAAAATCTTTCACTCACAAGCACTACGCTCAATTTTAATATGGCTCATGTGACCAAAAAGGTTCCCGATCCCTGCTCTAGTAGTTCCTGGGAGCTTAACCCTTTTAGTGCCATGGGGCTGATTTTTCAGCCATGTGTACTCCTGCTAAAAATGCCAAAGGTCGGTTTTTCAGTCACTGCTTTTTGTTACGTTTTTTCCTTCACATAGTTGGGGTTCTTGTTAGATGGCATAAAAATCTGCCATTTTTGGAAGTAGTAGACATGGCTGAAAAATCAGCTTCATGGCACTAAAAGGGTTAAGCTCTCAGGAACTACTACAGGGATTTTTATTAGAACAGTGTCATGTCTGATAATCAAAACTAAAAAACACTAAAAGGGTTAATGCTGACAGCAAGTGCTAAATGTTCAAAATCCACAAGCAGATGTGGCTGTGCCACTGAAAGTCATTTCACACAACTTTTACTTTAGTAACAGTTCATTTAACAGGAGTACTTTGTTCTCTGACAGGGATCCATTTAAGACAACAGGTATTCTACCTGCCAGTGCCAACAATTGACATTGACAGCTGCAATTCCTCCCTTCACCTGAATGGAAACTTGAGAGATGATATGATCTGTGCTGGATTCACTGATGTGGACCGTGCTCCATGCCGTGTAAGTTCAGTATCTTATGATGCATCTTTATTTTTTATCATATTTTTTTCTGCTACCATTCCTTTGCATTTCCTGAACTTAGCCTCAAAAGTAGTGGAATTTGTTCTCAGCCCCTGCAATTGAAAATGCTCAAATCCTTGCATATCTTCTTTTAGCGAGATGTGGGTGCACCCTTGATGTGTGTGAGTGAGTCAGGAGGTTGGGAGCTCCAAGGAGTCCTATCTCAGCCAATGGGATGCGGTCGCTCTGGTCATCCAGCTGTGTATGCGGCAATTCATGCTGAATCCCCATGGATCCATTCTGTGATTGGGGGCTCTTGGGACACTGATACTGGCCCAGGTCCTGATGGCTTCTAGGGGCCTAGAATGCTTCCTGGAAAGTTAAATGGACCTAGTCAAACAGAGTCAAAAGCATCTACATGGGTTGACTCCATACGCTTCCACTTGATTGAGATTAGACCCCAAGCAAAATGCTGAGTCTCCAACACTGACTCAGTGATATCAAGAAAGGGATCCACCATTGTGATGACTACAGCTTCATTCCATCCTTTTGCCATAAGAAAATGTATCCTGATTACTGTCATTTGCTGTCTGTATGCCTTGGGGAATCTGCAGCCGTCCGATGTCAAGGGCATATTTGCCTGCCCCCTGTGATATGACGACTTTTGTGTTTTTGTGAGAGTGGTTTTTAGGTATGTTACAAAATTGAGTGTTCCACCTTGTGTATCTGTGCCTTTACCTCTACTGTTTCTACTTGGTGCACACTAGGGTATTCCATAACAGGATTCACTACCAGTGATTTAGTTGTAATTTTAGCCTTTTTACTGATCACTGAAGGATCATCACTTTTTAAAAGTGTGTCTATTTCAGAATGCTTTTGATTCAGCATATTTTCTCATCTTAACTACATGCTATTTTTGTACTTGAGTCAGCACATTGCCTCTCAGGAGTCAGCACTTCCATGTTAATGGAAAAAAAGCTTAAGGTGCCAAACTGAGACTTACAACAGTTGCAGAATTGCTAATTATTGATGGAAAGGGAGAACTTAGATGAATTTGGAGCCACAGGAACTTCCTGTGATGAGAATTTCTGGTCACTGGGGCATTACCATTCTTCAGGAGCAAAATCCCTTCCATGTAAGAAGCAAGTCACTACTAGGACATACTTGATATTGCTGTTGCTCATTAACTCTAGAACAGGCTCATCTACACTTGATGCTGTGGTAAGAAACTATATTTCCTTCTTCTCACACCTTTGATAGTCCATGAATTGCTGAGACTTATGTTTCTGTTTTGTATGATCCTGTGCTGCATTCATTGCCTTCCTAGTGTGATAACATCCATGCATCACAATTGCTGCCTGACCTCTTACAAAGGTCACTTAAAACAGTGACTTCCAATAATGTGATTCTAATTTTGACACAAGGTGTGAGTGGAGAAACCTCCCGGTGGCTGTTCATGCATTCCATTTTCCTGTCTTTTTTTAAGTATATGACTTGAAAGGATTTGTGGTTTGCCTTGATTGGAAATCTTCGCATAAAAGAAGTGATTGAGATTTGATAAATCATGATTAAACATATGGAGTATGTTTTTTCTGGATTTCTGCATAGAATAGTTAATTAAAGAACTGGTGTTCACCTGTTTTCCCATCTCTCTTTACAAGGAACTTTACAAAAAAACCAGTAGCATTTTAATAGTTGATGCAGCAACAGGACACTGCAACTGATGCGTTTTCACTTACCCTGATGCTAGTGTCATAAGGTTGTCAGTGAGAGGCACAAGGGAATGTCCTGGGTTCAGTGGTGTAATGGAAGCACACCTGACCGGTAATCAGGAGGCCCGGGTTCAATTCCCGGCCGTCCCCTGGCTTTCTTTCGTCCTCTCCTCCATCCAACCTTCCCTCCCGGCCATTCTCATGACACTAGCAATACATTCTCCTTTCACTATGAAGATAGTAAAATTGTAAAATTGAAATATATTTTTGCTGACTGTGATCCATGTTATGGTCAATATTAAAATTCTTGCATGGATAAAGTTATGACAGTAAACAAAATTTTCAGATTAGCATTTATGATTACCAATGACAGGAAATTTACTACTTGCATTTCAAGATTCAATACATACAGCTGTAATGCCAAGGCACAGAATTCACAGTAGTAATCATCAAGTTTTATAAACCACCTGGGATTACAGAGAATAGTACCTGAAGGAAAACTATCTCTTGAATTTATGATAATTTCTGACTATCATCATTCCCAGTGTTTGTTAAGTTGCTATGCTAAAGGAAGCTAGTATCTTAATTCCATTGGAAATGTAATTGAAATCCAAGAATGGAAGTTCACACAATTTTAAAATCATTTCTCCACTGCCATGCCTGTGTTAATTTACTCATAATCTTCAGTTCATCAATTAAAATTGCCAAAAATGTTGTCAAGTTCATCATTCATCAGTAGAAATCCCTACATGGCAAAATATTTTGTTAGAAAAATTAATTCTGTGGTGCAAGAAAAGCAGTGACTGCTGTAGACAAAGCCCTTCATGTCTTTGTTGCTTGGCCTACGCTTAGGCCATAGAGCCTTCCTGTCATAGGTTGCATACAGTGGGACTGTCACTTCTGATATGTAGTACAAAAAATTATTTTACCATCACACTGAATTACAGAAATGGCAGGGATGTTCTGAGAGAAGGATTCTGAGATATTATTGATGCCATTACCATCAAGTTTTTATCACCTGGTCAACAGCATATTTTTGAGATCTACTCAGTCAATTCTCATCATGAGATGCAGTCTACCCTTCATTATTGTAAATGGCAAGGGAATATAGGAAGAAAAGGGGGAAGTGAAAAATAAGAGATGAGAGGGAATTTGGGTAATAGACAAGCACCATTCATATAGATGAGTTTCTGCAGCTAAGCAACCTCTCTGGTGGACACCTGCTGCCCCTAATTCCCTCCTCAAGAAGGCACTAAAACTGTGCCATTAACAAAACTGACTTGCCTCCTTCAAGGATTTTCTGCTGGAAACTCTGGATATATATTTTGCCACAAGTACGTAAGATTACTTAAGGACCTGACAAGCAGGATCACAGCAAAATTGTCACAAAATAATGGTCAAGAAGTCATGACAATAGTGGTTATCATTTATTTATTATTCTTGGAATGCAATGAAATTGGCAAAAGCAATAGGCATCAGCAAGCAAATTTTTTTATTACATATTCTCAAAGCCAATTTACAGCGTCAAGGTTTCAGCAATCATCATGAAGCAAAAGGCCCAGTCAATAGGCAATTCTGCCACCAGGTCTACTTGTGAACACGTTTGGCTCATAACGAGCACGTATGTCAGCACACAGAATTAGGTCTTTCTCCATGAGTGTGACCCGATTGCCATGTATGGTGCAACGATAGGAATCCTCAAGGTATCCCACCAAGAAGATTTCAGTTGCCTCTCTCAAGCACTCTATAGCTTCCACAGTGTAGAACTGCACCTCTGACATCTGATCATGACTGATCTCTTTCACAAGCCGATAAAAGGGAAGTCTTGGTATGAGGGGCTTTGTACTGCGCTGCAGTCGATGAATCTCAGTTAGTGCTACAGAGTACACTTGCTTCCTTGACTTTCTTCGAGGAGCTCCCTGTGACACAGTGCTTCCTAGGATGCATAATGTAACAATGAGGTGAGTCAGATTTTTTAATGCAAGGATTAATAGAGTTATGTGGAAATTCTCCTCATGGGTAAGTCCTTCAAAGGCTGTCCCAAAATTCACCATTTCAAAGATTTATAATCATTAGAAGGCTAGGCAAAACAGAGGAGGAGTTCTTGAAATAGAAATAACAAAGAAAGGCTTAACCCTTTCGGCGTCCACTCAAATCGTTATCCCATAGGCTAGCATGCAGGCGCATGACAAGTATGTACTCAGGATGACATTGAAAGGGTTAACTTCCAAAACAGCCTCCACATATGTCAGAGGGAATAAAATCTATAGATAAAGTTCCATACATTTCATCTGGCATTGAAGAAAGGTAAGAATATAAAAGGATCTTCTTAGAATGCTTAGGAGGGTTATTGCTCTGATGCAATTAATCCCTAAGTTTCTAAATGTAAAATTCTTCTGGCAGGGACAAATGAGACTTTTCCTCCTTGTAGAATTTGTATGTATTTTTCAATCTTGACCTAAAATGTACTCATTTTAGCATCATCCAATGTGGCTGTCTCTCATTTACACTACCCTTCACCATTGTTTAAACACTAATTGTTTTTTTTTTTTTAGTGTAAGAGGCTTACTTTGCAAATATGAGGTGTCATATAAGCCAGTGGATTTCTGATGATCAAAATAAGCATTTATTATTATTCTGGGAGAAAGGAAACAATTGGTACTTGATATTACTTTCAGGAATGTGGCAGGAAGTACAAAGGAAACTTGAACTCTTGACTTTTGGTTGGAGTTGGAAATATCTAAGCAACCAAGGCACCATGAAAATCATAATAGCTGCCTACAAGTGTTTAACCATAAAAAAATATAAATAATGAGGAAGAAATTTAGAAAGGCAAGCATTACCAAGAGGTAAGTAAACCAGATTTGAAAGGGTTAATTCATTACATATTGCCCAGAATCCAGAGCCAGTATGATAAATAAATTAAGAAAACCTTTGGAAGGTTATTTTCTTCCTGAGTCTGAGATTGGACAAATGAAAGTGGCTGACATTGACAAACAGCAGCAATGGAGAAGGGGTTACAAATGTATGAATTAGAATGATAGATTTGGCATTCAAGACACACCTTTGAATGACCTACAATATTACCTCATCATACAATAAGCATACCATTTAAGTTTCTCTTAAATTAATTTTTTGTATTTGGTTCATGATCTTCATTTTATATACCTTGGGGCAATAGAATTTAAAACGCTAATATACAAATGACTAAATAATGCAAGACTGAAACATCTCCACATTTCAAACACATTTAAACTACTGCCCACCTGTGCGTCTACGTTTCTCTGGGATAGATTTTGGAGTCTCGTCAGCGCTACTTCTTGGTTGAGAGCTAGGTCTCTTTTTCCCCACTGTAGGTGTCTTTTTTGTTGGACCAGCACTATGACTTCTCCGACCATAAGCCATTTTCAGATATTATGCCTTATGGTAATTTTGCACAAGGTATTCAGGCTCTCCTGCTCAGTGCTCACCTGGAAGACAATATATCTCAGTTATTAAAATCCCAATTGCTCACTGCTCAAAATTTTCCATTTATACTGGATTAATCAAAATCCCTTCATTATAGGCCATATGTGGAACTGCATTCCATGGAGTGAAAAATTACAAAGTGTACGATCTGGTTAGGTCGATTCTTCAAGAGTTGGTGCCAACTTTGAATATTATAACTATGGCTCAGCCATCTCCTTTTATAATTTCAATGCTGATCTTGATAACGACTCTTCATTTCGCATAGGCCATGAGTTTAAACTCTGCTTTATTCTATTCTAGGCCTGAAGGTACCTATGATATGTCAACAGTTTTAGGCCTCAGTCCAAGGTCTGAAGTCAGACTTTTAATTTTAACGCCACCAGCCCAGAGCAACGGAATAAATAAGCAGTTCGAAGTAAATATTCGAAGTATGGCTCACCGGTCCAGATTCGTCACAGCGTCGGTCCACACGGACTGATGAGAGAACTCCAACAAAACCAAGGTAGGCCAAAGAAATATGTTTAAGACAAACCCCGACAGGGGACGGCGTCATCACACTCGATGGTAGCGCCAGAAAGAGGCTGCAAGTGTTGCCATATTATTTGCTGTGCACCTGTAGCTTTTCCTTGATTCCTCAGATTGCCAAGAGCAGATCTTCAAAATAATTCGAAACATTCAACAAATGCATAAAAGAATGTAGATTTGAAGAGGAAGTGGGCATGTAGCAGAGAATTTTTGTGGCAAATAGCTTATCGTGTGACCTCTGTCCTCAGCAGTCTCATTTCCTGTAACGCTGGCGCAAGTTCAAAAAGGTCGTGACTTGGGGCCTGCTGCAAAGCAGTGCACGTTGGCATCGTATCATTAACTGCACAAAGATGCCAATTAAAATTAGGAATATCTGTGATCTCTAACGTCTCCACTTCTTCATAATAGTTAAATACGTGGGATTAACCCTTCGGTCGACACTCAGCAGAGGATCGTAGGAATCGAAATGCAGTGGTGGCGATGATCCGAAAGGGTGTATTGATGCGTTGAATTGGTATGCCGAACAACCTTTTTGATTCCCTTTTGATGTCTGAATTACAACCACTTCTGAACCTTTCCTCCCAGAAATTGTGAAATAAGTTAAAAGCTCGTGGCGAGAGATTTAGGGTGGGTTGTTGAACTCACTTTTAGCGCTAAAAGGCCTTTTAGGTCCATTGCCAGCACAGGACTGAAAGCCCGTTAGCAGCTAAAAGGGAGTATAAGAACCCACCCTATGTCTTTATTGTGTGGATTCATGCTGTAGAAGCCAGCTTGAAAAAAGGTATACACTAGCTTCTGGGGAAGTATGACAGTACTGATCCCTGCCCTCTCCATTTGCCAATATCTTAATGATATAACGTACAGTACTATATGTGACATCCACCATTCACTGCTCTTCGTGAGGCTGATAATTTGAGCAGAGGAGGGAGAAGTGAATCAATGGAATGTGAGCAATATAGACCCCCCCCCTCCCCCCCACGGACCATTATCTGGTGATTAACAGCTCATGTGAAAGATGTCGATCGCTATCTACTTCAGAGGTACAGTTTTATCCTGAAAAACAAGTCTCTAAGGTAGTCTTCCTAAACATCTCGTGCAGAGTCTTCTCGTCATGTGGTGTCCCCGGGAGAGAGTTACCCCTTCCGCTCACAATGTACTCTACTGTAAGCACAGCCACGCATTCATTGTAATTGTTAAAACTGCCTTGGATTGTGACCTCTACTTTTCTTCTTTTTTTCCGGAGTGAGATAGGGAAGGGGCTGTCAGCCAAGGCCGTAGTTAGGGGGTTTAAAACATTAAGTGAATTCATTCGCATACTATTTCCGTCTTCATTGGCGAAAGTCGACCCTCGAAGTCTTTCCTCGAGGCAGTCCAAATGATCACTCTCCCTCTCTCCTAGGGGGGGGGTTCCTGGGGTTCCTCCCCCCCCCCCCCCCCCCCCCGAAATATCTTCCTTAAATTTTTTCCATACTGCTATTCGTCAGTGTAAACGGCGCAGTACTTGGTCTTTTTTATATTTAATAGATTATGACTTATTAAACACTGTAACTTACAGGAAAATCCAGATATGTCACAAAGACTTACAATGACAAGTATTAAAAAAATAGCCACAGCGAATACGCCAGACCTCAACCCCCCCCCCGAAATGAAATCCTAGCTACGGACCTGCTGTCAGCTAGCTGATATTTTATGACCTCTAACGAGGCGACTTGTCAAACTGACTGCTATAAGGTCGGAAACCTTGATTATAGTAGGGTAGTGAGGTACAGCCCATTCAACAACAAGGTGGATTTATTATACGTTGGCCCATCTAGCAGTCCCATTTCCATCTTGTTGCTTGCTATCCTCTGGGATGTCTCAGACGATTCAAGGACAGAAGAAGCCTCGCTTCAGCGTAGACAAAGTGGATGCTCTCGCCACATCCGTTCTGGATAAGAAAGCAATCCTTTACGGAAAGTTATCGGCAACGATCAACTCTAAGAAGAAACACGAAGCCTGGAGCGCTGTTGCGCATGAAGTCAGCAGTGTAAGAGGAACTAAAAGGGACATTGCCGATGTGAAGAAGAAATGGCAGAATATTTGCATGGAGGTGAAGAAGAAAGAAGCAGAGAGAAAAAAAGCTCAAAAAGATACAGGGTGTGGTAGTCCCCCACCAGACCTAACAGAGACAGAATGGAACGTTCCACTAGTGCTTGGTTGGGAGCTTGTCCAAGGAATCGATGGAGCTATGGACACGGACGCGCCTCTTAAGTAAGTGGACGTACAGATACTAATGAGGACTCTAAATTTTAATCGACTGATTTTGTGAAGATTTCATCACAAAAATGTTTTAAATCAGAATTAATTGCAATATTTAACAGCCTTAAATATTCTCCAGTATGTTTTAATTTTTTTACTCCACCCTTTGTGATGAGTCCGTTTCTGCTATGCCTACCTCTTTGTGTGTTAACTTGCTTCAACTAAATCCTCTCTCACCATAAATTCTCTGTGATAATGCAAATGGAAGTAAAAGTTTCATTAGGAGATGGAAAGGAAGCTTTGATCATCCTCTATTCGCCGTAGTAAAGGAGGAAATTACGGTCCGATGAAAATGTGTTTAATCCAGAATGAATCCGTGATGAATCGATTAATTATTTCGCACTAGATTAGGAGCCTTTTTTATTATTCATGAAAGCCCAAAGGACAATACACTTCGGGTATGGTTTCTCAATGATGCAAATGAAGGGCCATTACTGTTGAAACTGTGCCTCATGAAGAATCAAAAGAGTTCCATGATCTACCATCGTCCTGGCCGATGGAACATGAAGCAAGCCGATGTGACACCCCCATACCCTTATCGAAGAGATCAACCCTCACTGGAGGAAGTGAGTGGCAAGCAGTTATCGTGGCATTGAGCGATCTTATTACCATCCCAGAGATCATGCTGTGAACACTGTCATCATAATTTTCTCTCACAGTTCCATTGGAAAGGTCCAAGAGGAAGGGAAAGCGAAGCAGAAAGCAAGATAAGGAGCTGAAGACCTACGAAGAAAAACTCATTCTGGAGAGGAAAAAATTTAAAATAGAAAAAAAAAATGCTAAAATGTCTTCGCGAAATGCGAGAACTGCGAAATCTTGGAGAAAGAATTTCCTCTCTTGTTCCCCAACCAAATGATTCCTATCAGTCACAACACAAGCCACCTCTTGCGCCGCCTTATTACCCAGAGCAGTGGCTGCATGGTGGAGAGGAACAGCACCCTTACTAATAGGCTCCTCAAATCCTACTTCATGAGCGCAAAGAAGTATGCTGGACTGCAGCAGAAGAAATTAAACGTTAAGAATTATGAAGTTTCTTTATGTTTATCGACAATATTAAGTCTGCATTTCCCCTTTTTCACTTTCATTATCTTTTCATTAGAACCCGGTCGCGCCACGATTGGTGAACAAGGATTTTAGTTGCAACATAATATTCATTTCGTTTCTATTCCTGTAGCAATGGTATCAAGAAAAATAAATCAATTATGTGTGAATGTACTTGCAATCAACTCATCTCTTGCACGTCTCCCTAATATATCTCCCACATTTCCCTGACGTTGCAAGGTCGCTGGCCGTCCATCCTCAAAATCTTGAGCATTTTGAGGTTCTTCTATCTTTGCTTTCACGCACATATTATGCAGCATGGCAGTCACAATGATTAAGTGAGACACTAGGACAAGAGACTTAAGACAAACACACCCAGAACTCTTGGCAACACATCGAAATCTCGCTTTCCACATTCCAAATGCTCTTTCTATGATACATACGGAGACATACGGTTTCGGCAACAAAATGTCATTTTCGGCGTTTCCTATGAAAGCAAAACTGTGAGTGATATACGGCGACTAGAATCTCGAGATCGTCCGCGGTGTTTGAAGTTCGTCAACGAACAATTTTCCTTCAAAATCCTGATAATGGAACCCAAGTCGAAGCAATTGGGAATGAAAGTAGCAATCACTATAAAGAGCATTCTCTGCTCTAGAGTGGATCGAAGGAGCAGGTGGATAATCTCCCGTGGATAATCATGTGGTATTCATTCGAAGGGAATAAGAAAGGCTATTTGATTATTCAGGCAAGGAAAACCTATTGGACTGCAAAAAAACGCCATAAATTCAGCCTACAATCAAGTTTGGTAAGGTGAAAAAATGCTGTAAGTATATCAATTGAAATCCGCCAGTAAGAGATTGGTAATTCAATTTCGGCATTCCGTAGTTGAAGAATGTCTGCAGAAGTATTGGTGAAAAGTGACCGCATTTCCGGCAAAACGATATCTGTTATCGTCCACGAGGGATAGGTTGTATTGGGAGACCCGCGGTTTCAGCAATGAAATGTCATTTTCGGCGTTCCGAAGGAAACATCCTCCATTGCTGTCCTACATGAAACTGAATGTGCAATACGGCGACTGGAATCTCAAGATCGTCAGCGGAATCTGGAATCCATTGTCGGACACATTTCCGGAGAAAAATTCGCTATCGACCCGCAGAAATGAAGTTGAAGCAATTGCGAGTGAATACTTCACTCACAGAATGTTTCTCGGTAAGCGAATCGCAAACGCAAATTTGAGACATTTCCGGGGAGATTGTTATGGGACGTTCTTACGAAGGGAATGGGAATGGGAATTGATTTTCATTTCCTAACCGGTCAGATCCCAAAGGGCTGCAGGATAGGCCAAAAGTTCTACCCGCAATTCAGTGAACAGTGAAAAAACTTCTCCCTAATTTTGAAAGATGTCGCTCTGACTTTAAACCCGTTGTTACCCATTCCTAGTCTTAACTCTTAACACATGTTGGCAAGTCGAAATATGCTAGTGATTTCGCAGGTGCTTCATTTTTTGTTGCTCGACCTGCCTGAAAAGTGCGCCTGAGTGTCGAATATCGTCATTTCTGCCGAAACTCAATTTCCTGGATGAATTTCAACCGCTGATCGTCCGTTTTGTGCCTTCCAAATGACGAAACATAGGGAGGAATGCTGAAATTCCGGTATAAGGTCCCGAGAATATCCGCGGATGGGCAAAGCCCATCATTCTCTGCGTCCCGAAAATTCTTCCCAAACGCCGAAATCCAAATTTGCAGCGTTATTCCCCTTCCATTGAGAAAATGGGGGAAATGTACCAAAAATGAGTTACAATCCTTATGAAGGGGGATTATAGAAGGTCTAAAGCTCCTTGATTTCGGAATACATTGCTGATAACGATCGGCTTATCAATCATGCCGAATGTACGATTTCTGATGTAAAGGGAGTTCCTGTCATTTCGTCGTAGTTCCTGTCACTTTGCCTGCCTTTCATTATTGTTGTGGTGATCCGACTGAAAAGCTCGCCTCAGTGGCTTTTCCCGTCGAATGTTGGTAAACTCAATTTCCAGCTAGAATTTTTTTTGCCGCCGCTCTTCAATTTTCTGTCTTCCGCAAACGAAATACGAGGAGGAATACCGAAATTCAGATACAGGATGCCGAAAATGATGATTCCTTTCGGAAAGTCGGCCGAACATCATCTCCTGCTCGCTGAAAATTCATCTAAAACGCGAATTTTTCAATGCGCAGCGCCTATATAGTGTATTCACTTTCCATTTTGAAAAACAAGGGGAAATGCGCCAAAAATGAATTCCAAACCATCTAAAAGCAAGTTACAAAAGGTATAGTTCACCATGCGAATGGTTGCACTGCTTCGAATACCGACTAAAATCCGTACGTGGGACTGCCTCGGGAGTCTCTGCCTCCGAAAGACAATTTCACCGCCTCCGTCCACATTCCAGAATTGGAATGACTTATCCAAGCTGATCCATATCGAAACTGAAAGCTTTTCAGGATACAGAAATGGTCTTTTCGTGCTATTTTCAAATTCTTGAAACACGAGGAAGTTTACCCAGGAGGAGAACGATTCATGACAGTATCTAAAATACAACGAAAACGAAGTCGGCATGTTGGTGAAATCAGAATCACACAATAGGGTTTTCATTTCCGATACAAGAACTGGATTATCCCCCCATCTCGAATACGCTGAGATAGGGCTCTATTCGCTCTTCTCGTCCTTGAATATCTTTCATGCAAGATATCTCTCCACTCCACCTCCTCTGGGTCGGCTCGCCCCCTCAGAGCTTTCCGATCCTCCCTGGGGGGGGGGGGTATTTCCTGACTCGATGTCCGTTGGAATTCCACTTCTCCCAGCAATGGTGTCGGGAGTATAAAAGAGTTTTCAAGGTCTCTTGGTGGCACTGGCCCTTTGGGTGGGACGGTTAGCGACTCCTCTTTTCGAGAGAGCATACTCCTGGTGGATTCCTTCGTCTTCCCAAGCTGTCCGATGTCCGAATAACGTCTCCTCTCCTCGGAGACGTACAATGCACATTGTACATGCGGCATGAGAACTTATCTGTCGGGTTGGAGTGTTGACTAATTGTCCATATAGAGAATAAATCGATTCTCCTTTCGCAGTCAATTCGTCGAACTATTCAGCACTACCGATCCCACTGATGGGATCATGTTGTAGGTTTTCCTCATGAAATCCTCTGGTTTTGCTAGAGAAGGGTCCATATTCAATAGGGTAGTATCTCATAAGTGTTGTCTGCAGTGTTTTCCACGAAATGGTACCATTTCGTTGTACGAAGGCGGACTTGACAATGTGTCCTGGGCTTCTTGATGAGCTCCATTTCAGATCTCAAAAAAGCTCTTCAGCTTTGTGTTAAAAATAAAAAAAACTGGTAGCCAAGTTACTTAAACAATTAAATAATTAAAATGACTGGGTTGTTATATAAGGGAAAGGTGAATGAGCTTGAGCGTCGACTCCTCCTTCTCCCTGCTCAATTTCTGAATCCTGGAGGTCACCAAAAAATGAAATTCCAGTCTGTCTTCTTGGGCACATCGCAATGAGGATGGAATGAGTACCCAAGTTTTTCAGTGTGCACTGAGTCGAGGGATGGGGGTCAACGGATACCAGGCGGCGGAAGAGGAAGATAAGGGCATCCAGGGAGAGCTACTAACACTAAAACGTGGAAGGCGGTACGGTCGACTGCTCCCACGACCTTGAACTAGATTTCCTCTCCTCTCTTATCTGCCGATCCAAACATTAGCTTTCATATTATCGCTCCTTGGCAAGTGTGGAGCTACGAACATCCCATTCTGGCTCTTTCCATGCTCCTTCAACCGTTGATGATGACTTCGTTCCAAGAATTATCCTCCTCCTTGAACGCTGGAGCGTTCTTCTGAGCAAAACATTTCCTCATTTGCGGAGTTTTTCCTTACTCAGATGCTGCGATGCTTATCAGATGCTGCGATGAAATTCTATAACAGTCCAAGATCTACCAGCGGGTGCTCCACCTGTCGCCTCTCGAAAGACGAAAACCAACTCCTAAGAAAGTGACAGTCACTTTCTTAAGAATCGGTGAACATCCAAATGGAAACAGAAGGCAATGCTTCAGATTCTTCACCTCCTCAATGCCATAAGCTAAGGCGTAGGATAATATGGTCGCGGAGAAAACTCGCCGTAGGACTGGTGCAGGCCGATCTCACTCGACCGTGCCATGGCTCGTTCTAAGGTCATTCGATAAAACGGGAGAGCATCGAGGAGACCTTTCAGACTTAAGCTGCATGCAACCCGACAAAGGCACAGGAGGACTCGTGCTTTCCGATGGGGAACCCCACACTACACATGTAGAACGTACAATTGTCAGGTCCCTTCATTTCGGAAGGAAGTCCTCACTGGGGAAAGGAGAAGATAGCAGCAAAGAAATGGGTCGTGTGGGTTGCGTGCGGAAAAGCACGTGGGTCCTACGACGACCTTTTCCACCTATAGCTCCGCCTATGCCATTATCAGCTGGTTCCATTGGGTGCCAGATCATGAGGAAGACGGAAATTGAGTAGCAGAAACTCCTCCTCCTCCTTCTCCTCCGCAGAGAGAAGCAGTAGGGACTCTGCAGGCAGCGGTGTCGGCGGAAGCATGGAGCTCGGCCTCTCCCTCGTCATCCTCCTCTTCTTCGTGGTGTTCTCTCACCAGCTGGGTGAATCCAGACACCGCACGACCGCGCCGTCTTCTCCGACATTGGACCCCACCCAGCCGAGCCCCGAACAAGGGAACCTCAACTCGTCCTTGACGTCTCAGCGACAGCGGGCCCAGATGATCCGTCGACTGCTCAGGAATAATAGGCTGGACCGGCCTCAAGAAGGCACCGTTCGTCTCATCGGTGGCAAAGATTTCAATCAAGGTGAGTTTGGAGTGTCGAGGAATAATTTTAATCCGATGGGACAACTCAAGGACTGGATATCACATCGTTTCAAGGCTTCTCGATGTTGATTCAACCCAAGAGGACGATAGATATTCTAAAGTTCGCTCATTGGGTAGATTTGCAAAAAATTGAATTCCGAAGAATTAAAATCAATGAATCGTTTAACTTTTAATATGTATTTGAGATTATCGGAATGTTTAATTTCTGAGAAACGTTGGAATTCATTACCAGAATTACTTATTTTCCTGTCGAAATTAAGGTTCAACTCAAATTTCAACTATATATCTTGGATTAAATATTGAACCAAATCATAAAAATATGCATTACCTTTGTTCAAACACGACTGTTCGGGAAATCTCCTCTTGTGTAGCTTTTCAATGAAAGGCAGTTGACGCTCTATGCAAACTACTGTATAGATCCATGTATGCAAAGTTAAAGCATTTCTGGAGGGATAAGCGGAACTTCGTTTCCAGTGGGGTGGTAACGGAGTTAACTCCGTCATTTTTTTCGATGCGAACCTGGAACTGAGAATCAGATTCGACCTTTCGAGGAAGAATTTTGACTTGGAAAGTTTTTTTTTTGAGGTGGTATTGACACTGTGAATCGATGCAGATTTCAGAGCACCGTTGAAACATTATCGGCGGACGAGGAAGAACCAAAGCCGCGAGTTAGTTTGTGCTCTTGGGCCAAGATAAGGTGAGGAGTAAACATTGCTTCTTCCTCCCCTCGTCTTGTTCGGTTCGTTTCGGGAGGAGGTGGAACCGTGTCACGAGTCGATCGGTGGGAGTGTGCCTCGACCGGCTTCCATCGGGGCAGTTCGTACCATGAATTCGAGGAATCTGTTTCTCGGCGCGGCCACACGCAAGAGTCCCTCGCGAGGAGAGGGATGAGTCAGGATCCTGGATGAGAGGAAGGAATCTCCAGAGTTCCACGATACGCCCGTAAACACGACGAGACGAAAGAAGCTGCTAGACTCGTGTCGGCGTCGAGGAAGTCCTATCTCGAGTGGCTTGGGGTTTGGGTGATTCCAACTGATGTATGGATAGATCTTGGTTCAGACGACCTTCCCGACGAGCGGCGCTTATTTTTAGCACCACAGTTATATCAGAAAGTGCAAGTGGTCTCGGTAAAGAGTTATGGAATGCGTCGACTCCTATCCTTTTGAGAAATTTTGAGGCAATGAAGAGACAGAGCACTTCACGCATCGAATCATCAGGACGCTTTTTTCAGTTTTTTTTTTTCCGGAGGATGCTGAAGTCTAACGTGCTCACGCGTGTTCTTTTTTAAGGTGCAGCTGCTGCCGCACAGATGCAACTCGAAGAGAGAGGCATTTTTCTTTTGTCACCCATTCATCTTACCGAATTGCCGTTTGGGTTGGGGGTGTTCTCACACCCCGGCCTTGTAACAGGGCAACTGCTCGCATATAATTCTTTTTTTACGACTATGTCTGATTCTCTTGAGAATGGAAATGCAATTAGAGCATAATGTTGGGTTAATCAGAATTCTTTGACATGCATAATTATAGTTCCAAATAACGTCTAGAAAACGTCTGCATAATAATGACGTTTTTGAAACTTGGGTGTAAAGGGAACTTTAAAAAAGAGTGATATTGATTTTTGCTTCATGGTCAATGTCAACTACTGAAGATGTGTTCAACTCCCTCTCCAGGCTCAATGTAATGGGTACCTTTAAAAGGAGTGCATTTTGTAAGAACCCCCCCCTTCCCCTTGAATCCCACGCTGCCGAAAGCCAGCCGGGGAGGATACTCACCCAATCGCAGTTGAGCCGTCCTCCCGTTCGGAATCGAATCCTGACGTCTCCCGGCGACAGTCAGACGATATGCTGATAGGCCGTACTTCCAGATACGAATAGATCAGAGATAGAAGCCTTCCCATGAGATCGTAAACGCACCCGCTGAGAGACGTTGGTCAAAAGCACCAGAATCACTTCTGTTGGATCACCCAGCACGACCCTGGACAGAAGTGTGGTGGAAGGACGGTTTGATGGTAAGTGCGGACGCAATTTATCAAGTTTTTGACTCGGTTTTGCATGAATTGCGGGTATATCGTCTTCTCAAAGTCTTTGATTGGCGTTTTGCTCGAATGGAGTAACAATACTTTCACTACAGAAGCAGCATTGTACTTTCATAAGCGTAGAAATTCAGTTTTTGAGAATTCACCCGATGGTTAGGCACGACTTCTTTTTGCGCTGGATTGCATCAGCAGATACAAAATTGTCGATAGAAAAGAAAGGAGCCGTTGAAAAGTTGGAAGAGATGGGGGGGGGGGGACAATGTGCAATAAATCTTCCAATGTCGGAGGGAAGGATGGATACACAGTAAAAATGTTACAAGCAGGAAAGCAGGATATAGAAAGAGAGAATAACAATTGAATTCATGAAAGTGAAGCGTGCTTTTCCAAGGCAAGGTGATCTCAGCCTGAAAGCGGAGGTCGTTCCAATAGGAATTTTTACCTTCTCTTTCGAGATAATGAAGGCCCTTCTTTTAGACATTTCCTCATGTACCCTAGGGAATGTGGAGATCTTCCACGTGGGGAGATGGGGGAGCATTTGCGACGACGAGTGGGACGACCGGGATGCTCAGGTCGTTTGCAGGGAGCTTGGTCTTCCAGGGGTCGCCCATGCGACTCAGAATTCCTACTTTGGGGAGGCCAAAGGTAGGACCTTTGCTACTTTTTTCTCCTGTGGAGAAGGTCTTGGGTGACACGCTTTGCGTACTGCCACAGCTCGGATCTGGATGGACAACGTGTATTGCATGGGGGACGAAGAGACTCTGTCGGCATGCCGTTTTGACGGCTGGGGGATCAACGACTGCGGGAAGAACGAGGGAGCTGGGGTGACATGCGATGCACTCTCGTCGTCCACCACCTCCACGTCCAGAACATCCTCAGAGACCCTGTCTGGAGATATGCCCGTTCAAGCCAAAAAACTCCCAATCAAGGTCTGAGGCCTCTTTTCGGGCTTCGTGAAGACATTCTCGAGCATGTTATGCCTCAACTTACATTTTTTCAAATTTTTATTTTTTACATTTCAGTCGTTCAGCGATGGAAACCTTCAGGTCCGTCTCATGGGCGGTCGAACGAGCACGGAGGGAAGGGTGGAAGTAAAACACGGAGACAGCAGTGAGTCCCGCCAGCCGTCTCGACTACGAGTCTCACCGCCTCGTTCATTGCTTTACCCTGATGGCTCGGTACGATGGAGCAGGTTGGCACACGGTCTGTGGTGACGGCTGGGGCCTGGTGGAAGCCCAAGTCATCTGTCGTCAACTGGAATTCGGATACGCAGCAGACGCCCGACCCACGGATTTCTTCGGAGGGACCAAAGCGGACATGGCCCTCAGCGGGGTGAAGTGCACAGGCACCGAACTTTCCTTGGACGAATGCATGCACAGCCATTGGGGGGATGTATTCTGCCCTGGCGATCACACCAATGTCGCCGTCGCCGTCTGCCTTCAAGGTCTGTCCATACGTTGAGGGGATTCTCACATGCGCGTTTAACCGCGTGAAAAGTTCCTCGTGCCAGATACCGTCTCCATAGACAATTTAGTACATATGTATACTTGAATGTGCAAACTAGCCCTTAGGGCTCACCCACCACTGCCAGTCCCGTACCGTAGTTGGGCGGAGTGCGCATCGATTCCGGATTTAAATGGTCTTGATCATTCTCATTTTCTACAAACACGAATATCCTCTCTTTGGTCTCGTCTGTGACTCTCTTGAATGATGCTTTCTAATGTCCCACAAGCTTAAGGTGAAATGACGCGCAGCAGAGCCAATCTTGTATGTTCCAGCCATGCCAGACTTGATTCCAGATTTGATCGAGCTGCAGCGGTCCATGTACCTCGAAGACGTTCAACTCTGGTTCCTCCAGTGTGCCATGGAGGAGAACTGCCTCACCTCCTCAGCCTATAAACTTCAGGTAAGGCATTCCCGTCACCGACGTTAGAGTATTTAGTCCAACGAGAATCGTACATCGTGTCTTGCGATGCGTCTCCCACGAGACAGAGTGCAAATCAGCAGAACTGGCACCTAGAGACCCGACGATTGCTTCGATTCACGGCCAGGATTGCAAACATCGGGACGGCGGATTTCCTGCCTTTCATGCCCAAGCAAGCTTGGCAATGGCACCAATGTCACATGTGAGCCTCAGACTAAGAGACAACCAACTTTTATACAGAGACAATTTTTTATAAATGCACAAATTCACGGAAGGTTATTGTGAACCAGCCAGGATAACTCTGCATACTGGGAGACCAGGTTCATGCAGAAAAAAAAAAAAATATATATATATAAAAAGAAGCAAAGAATAACAGTAATGAAACCACCCACTCTTGGGATTTTGCATCGCACCGTAAAAAGGCTATGCACAAAATTCAGCGTTTTGCTCTAACCTTTAGGCACTACCACAGCATGGAATTGTTTGCCCGCTACGATGTCATGGATCCATACACATTGGCACATGTGGCAGAGGGACATAAAGCCTCGTTCTGCCTGGAAGACAACGCGTGTAAGGAAGGTGTGGAACCCGTTTACAATTGTAACAACTTCGGGGACCAAGGAATCTCCGTGGATTGCACGGACACCTACGCCCACAACATCGACTGTCAATGGGTGGACATCACCGACGTCAAACCAGGCAGCTACATCTTCAAGGTGAGAATTGAGAGGCTCATCGTACCTGGATCCTCCTTCGTCGGGTTTCATGGGTGACGAAGACCTTTCTATTTTTCTTTCTAGTTTTCCATAAACCCGGAGTATAAGGTGGGAGAGATGACATTCGAGAACAATGCCATCACGTGCAACCTGTCCTATTCGCAGACATTCGCCTTTGTGCACAACTGCACCCTGGGAAGACCCTGACCGTGAATGGTGAACGAACACACCAACACTCTCAGCTTCCGTCCATCTGCGCCATGCTATCCTTCCTTTTACAAAGGATGCTGTACTCCCTCATCGCAAACCCCCTTCGCAAAATACTTGTCTGCTTCTAAGACGATCTTTACTCTTCCCCTCGTTCTGTATGACAGAACTGAGTTTTTGCTCTCGTTTCCTACCGAGACCCCGGATTGTGTATATGATGCATACGCTTAGAACAGTTCCTGGCGATCCCCTTTCCCCCTCAGCACAAGAGGGGCATTCTGCTTGTCTTTCACTCGCGATTGACGCGAGTCAGGGCAGCAGCAAGCCTCTCATGCAATACTCCTAGAGAATCTGAGTTCTGTATTAATCAAATTGCAAGCTATTCACATTGGAATAAAACGAATTGCATCACACCTCTCTCATCATTCCCGAAGAGAATTTCTAAATCCAAATGCAAACTGACATTGAACCAATTGCTTGACTTCGATGAATCGATGATCAACCATAAGGGAAGCAAAATACGGGAAGTAAAACATGACAATTTCAGTATCCCCCCCCCCCAAAAAAAAAAAAACATGACTATTACTTCTTAACTTAAAGCATGCAGGAGCTGAAACGATTGTGCCATCATAGGCACTTGGCGGCTTTCCAGCTTAGATTGAGGGGCTAGTAGGAAGGAACGGTAGAGCAGAAAAAGATCTGTGATTAGATTTGATTTTGACATGAGGGTGAGGATAAATCAGTTCAAGTGATATTAACCTTGAGCAAGACTAAGGAGCAGGCTTTTTACTCAAAAGATGGTGAGTATGCGAAACATGAAATGGCAGAGTGGCTGTTTCCCACCATCCCCTCCTCTCAGACAGAGACCAGATGTCTTCAAAATAATGAAAGATAAAAGGAGGAAGCAATAAATCATTGGAAAACTAGGCATTAAGTACTTAAGCCCACATCCTTAGGTTTACCAGGCTAGGGTTAGAGGGGGATTGGGGATGAGAGCTCCAGCTCAACTTTCATGCGTAAGCATGTGTTCTATGGACTTCTTACACCTGTATATGCACCACAAATGTAAATCATTCCTATTGCAGAAAAGATAAAAGTGAAAAGGAGCAAAAACAAAAGAAAGGCTAAAAAAAATCCCTTCAGCAGCTCTATGTGCTAGAATCACGCAAGACATCCATCATTATGCTTATTTGTGGATGTCTTTTTTCCTGAATTTGAGGGTGGGTACAATAATTCCATTCACCTGAAATTCGAACGAGAATCACGTTCTGCACTTCAATTATGCAAACCCTTGAGCATTATGGTCGCCACCTTAGAGGAACCGTTATCGTTATAACACCGCCCACAATACCCTCTTATTGAGGGCAAAGTGATATTTGAAACATGGGAAGCCAGCAGTGGTGAGTGAGCCAGCTACTCTTTCATTAAGAACATTTTCTCAATTGACGCAAAAAAACAATTCCCTCTTCAAAACTTTTGTAAATCATAGTTGCACATCAGATGGTCCTCATCACAATTTATTTGCGGTGCATGTGCAGTTCAGGAAATCATATGGGAATATGGGGAGGATTGCAATCTGACTAAGTTTGTTCCCCCCTCGAAGTTCTTGGAACTCCCCCAAGTCTCCTCTCCTCGCCCTTGTTCCAAATTCTCAGTGCCTTACTATAAGTTCTTTTCATTATTCCTCCTTCCCATGCCAAAATATTGCATCAGGCATCTGAAGACCATTGCAAATTCAGATAGCAAAATCATGCAAAGAGTCCTATAAATTGACGCTTACTTTGTTGCTTCCAGGCAAATTTTCTCTTATTCACCGATTGACGAATAAGAGAAAACTTGCTACATTGCTTGTGGAAAACCTGGTACTTTCAAATGAATGGGCTATTAGCATAGAAATAGGCAGAATTGTTTAAAACCCAAAATGTGAATCTGATTCGAATCAGAACATGTCTGTTGAGGACCAACCCTTGACAAGAAATACCCGGGTGCAGAGAAAAAACTCACCGCTGTTGTGAATAAGTATTAATATATCAGGAAATTGGTCAATGCTACAATAATGTATGTTCCAGGATTCATGCATCTATAATCTTCCATAGAAAAATTTTGTATGAAAATTTATTCATTTGGTTTTGCCACAGCAGCATTATGAAACTTACAGGTAAAATTTAAGGAAATCCCCACACATTGTTGGCATTTCACTGAAATGGGAAGCCAATAAATAGGGTTAGTAGTTCTCACTCCACTTTGTCTATTGTGTTCGTTGCGATCATGAGTTGGCCGGCCCTCCTCCCCCGGTTAAATAAATAAATAAAAATTTTTTTAAAAAAGAAATTAACTAGAATTTTTCTTTTCAAGACGATTCTTTCTTTATATGTCCTCCAAGTACAAAAAGGTTGGAAGGGAGAATTCATAATGGAAAACAATTTATGCCTCTTTTTTAATTATTATTTTTTAGTCATTCAGTTGACAGACCCACAGCAATCAAGTCCGGAGACCATAAACCTCGTATGGAGTCTCCAGATTTTATCGAATACTGTTTCCGTACCCCATTAGCCCGACATCCTTGTGCTGCTCCAACTCCAGTACCGTTACAGGTGCGTAAGGATGGAGAATGGAAAGACAAGACTAAAGAGTTGAAAGAGTCGCTTATATACAGGGTGCGTCAGCTATTTGAGAACAAAATTTGACTTTGAGGAAAACAAAAATATTCAGTAGAAAAACCAATATATTTTCATAGAATTTGGTACACATGTTCTTACA